ACACCCCATAAAAATTAATTTTGAATTACAGAAAAGTTGTGAAAGTAGTTTGTTTCCCCATACCCATTCACTCAAATTCCCCAAATAGTAATATTCTCTCTGTATGTATGTATGTCTATGTTTATACACACACATAAAATACACTTATATATGTATGTATAAGATTATTTTTTCKGAGCCAGGTGCAGTGGCACATGCCTATAATTGCAGCAACTTGGGAAGCTGAAGCAAGAGGATTGCAAGTTCAAGGCCAACCTCAGCAACTTATAAATATATATATATATTTTTGGTATTGGTGATTGGATTCATAGTCTAGCAAAGCTATCACTCTGCCACTGAGCTACATTCTCCACTTTAAAAAAATATTTTTTAAATCAATTTTTTTTATCCCCACTCTTTTTAAAAATTTTTTCTTTGTTGTGGATGGACATAATAAGTTTATTTTATTTATTTATTTTTATGTGGTGCTGAGGATCGAACCCAGTGCCTCACATGTGCTAGGCAAGCGCTCCACCACTGAGCTACCACCCCAGCTTATCCCCACCCTTTTTATTTTTTATTTTGAGACAGAGTCCTGCTAAACTGTTCAGGTGGGCCTTCTATGTGTGATCCTCCTGCCTCTGCCTCCCAAGTAGCTGAGATTACGGTTATGCACCACCGTGCCTGGCCCCCACCAAGGTCTTTTTTTTTCTTTCTTTCTTTCTGAGCTTTGTAGTTATACATAGTAGTTGGGCTCATCCTGACCAACAAACACATGCAAAGAAATCGATTTCAGTTCATGATCCTCCCTTTCCCTCCCATCCTCCCTCCCCTCTCCCATGCTCCTTCTACTCTACTTCCTTTTGCTTGTCTATTCACCAATGTCTTTTTAAAATATATTATCTTAGTTGCAGATAGACACAATACCTTTATTTTATTTATTTTTAAATATTTATTTTTTAGTTTTAGGTGGACACAATATCTTTATTTTACATTTATGTGGTTCTGAGGATTGAACCCAGTGCCTCATGCATGCTAGGCGAGCACTCRACCRCTGAGCCACAACCCCAGCCCCACCAATGTCTTTTATAAGAAAGGAAAGAAATGCCGTGGTCTGGGCTCTCATCCAGAATTGCAGGTTACATTTTACAGTGATGTCTCTTTAGCCTCTTTGAGCCTGGAGCACTTCCTCAGTATCTTCCTTAGTATCTGAGATACTTCTTTAGTATCTGTTTTTTTTTTTTTTTGTGACTTTGAAGAACAGAGGCTAATATTTTGCAGAATCAATCAATAGCTTTTGGATTTTTATGATGTTTCCTAATGATTAGATTCAGGTGCATTTTTTTTTAATTTTTTTTTTTTTTTTTTAGGTACTGGGGACTGAACTCAGGGGCACTCAGCTACTGAGCCAAAACCTCAGCCCTATTTTGTATTTTATTTAGAGACAGGGTCTCACTGAGTTACCTAGGGCCTTGCTGTTGCTGAGGCTGGCTTTAAACTCGTGATTCTCCTGCCTCAGCCTCCTGAGCTGCTGGGATTACAGGTGTGCCCTAYCACACCCTGCCAAGTGCATTTTTCTGCAGGAGTATCCTGCAGGTGGTGCGTGTCTTTCCCAGTGCCCTGTATGTACCAGGAGGCTTGTGGAGTCTGTTCCAAGCCTCCGCTAACCCAAGTCACTGGGTTGAGGGATACCAGCAGGGTTCTCCAGTGTGAGGTCACTCTCATGCCTGTGCGGTGAGCAAGTGTCTGATGGAGAGATTATTGTCAAGCTTTAGCTTCCTACTTTCATATCCACTGATGAATTTCTAAACCCATCATTCCTTCTATGTTTATTAGTAGTTATTCTACTGAAAGGAAGAGCTTTCYTGTCTCCTTCATTTATTTATACTAGTATGGACTCTTGGATTCCTTTTATTTTTTAATATTTGTTTAGTTGTAGATGGACACAATATCTTTATTTATTTATTTACTTTTATGTGGTGCTGAGGGTCGAACCCAGTGCCTCACACGTGCGAAGCAGGCACTCTACCACTGAGCTACAGCCGCAGCCCTCTTCTTTTTTTTTAAATTATGTTTCAATTTCTTCCTATTGTTGTTTATTTTGATGCTCCAAGTTTTTTTCTTCAGATTTAGCCAAAGGAAGCCCCTTCAAGCTGACTCCTGWGTCCTTGTGACATATTTTCATTGCTCTTAAGTAGCTTGTCCTTTAGTGCAGAGAACATGTCCCAGGTTCATTTCCCACTTTCCCAGCCCCAGGCGCCTTGGTGAATGAATATTTAGGCACTTCCTAGAAATCATTCAAACGCTAGAAATGCAAACCCTCACAGCACATTCCTGCCTTGGCTGTACCCACACCCAGCATACCCCGRCTTCCCTGGGGACCCCGGGCAGTCATGTTCCAAGGAAGTGATGCCCATTTTTTTTTTACTTTTATCATTTTTATCCGTTTCCATTTCACTTAAGATAAATTCTATTCTCTCGAATCCAACTTAAATTTTATTTGATTGTCTTCTGTTTCTTCAGTGTTCTAAGATTTTTATTTAATTAATTAATTWATTTATTTTTGGTAGTACTGGAGATTGAACCCAGGGCCTTGTGCATGCAAGGCAAGCACTCTACCAACTGAGCTATCTCCCCAGCCCTTCTAAGATTTTTAAACAGTGAAATATTCAAGGTAGATTATGAAACAGATTGTCCTTGACTTTGTGTCATATCATGCTTGGAAAATGAAACTTGTAGCTCACCTGGTGGGGGGCTGAGGATTATCAGTTGTCTGGTGTGCAGACTCAGAGGTACAGGTGGCCTTCCAGATACTGCATTCGCCTTGTGGTAGATCCTCTGTCTCACAGACAGCACAGTGGTAGCTTCCCATCTCCGTCACAAATACCTGAGACAATTTACTTATGAGGAGAAAAGTTTACTTTGGCTTGCAGTTTGGGAGATTCCAGTCCATGACTGGTTGGCCCCTCTGCTTTTGGGCCCCTGGTGGGCCAGCACATCATGGCGGGAGCATGTGGCAGAGGAGGCCCATTCACCCCCTGGCTGGGTGTGAGAAAGAGAGAGGAAGAGGAAGGGACTAGAATCCCAACATCCCCTCCAAGAGCACTCTGCCAGTGACTGGACGACCCCCCACAAGGTCCTGTTTCTTAAAATCCCACGATTTCCCATCAGCATTACACAGATTGAGCACCAAGCTTATCACACCTGAGCCTTTGGGGGACACGCCAGGACCAAATGACGGCAGCATCTTTTCATGTTTGGATAAAAGCTCAATGTAAGAGATGGAAGTACCTGGAATGTGATTTGTCGTGCAATGGTTATGTGATTCCTAGGAAAGTATCTGAAGCCTATGATGTTGAGTTTCCTTATGCCCAAAGTAAGCATGGCACCCCACAGCCAGGGTGGTTTGAGATAAATATTCTTGGAGCCCAGCATTTTGTGAAGAGGTAGGAATCTTAGATCTTCTCCAACTCAGCCCTTTCCTTGATGAAGAGTGTCGAGAAGAGGATGGTGCTCTTCTGCCAACCGCATGCTTCACCTGGGCTGGGCTGAGGCCTCCTGACCCACAGAGCTCTTATCCTGCTCTTGACCTTGAGCCATGGCTCTTTGGGATATGATGCTGCATAACCAAAGACATGGCTTCCACTGTTGTGTTCACCAAATTGCAGGTTTGAGAAGATGATCAGTGGCTTGTACCTGGGGGAGCTTGTCAGRCTCATCTTGCTGAAGATGGCTAAGGCTGGCCTCCTGTTTGGTGGTGTGAAATCCTCTGCTCTCCACACTAAGGGCAAGATCGAGACACAACACGTGGCTGCCATGGAGAAGTAAGTCACTGAGTGTGTCCCTCCCGCCTTGCCTCTGTGGGAGTGGGGTGGCCAGTGGAGCTGCCTTTGGGTTTGGTGATTTGAGTTCTTACACTCAGATCCCTGCAATGGGCTGCTGGTGGAGATGGCTGGCCTTAGTCATCTCAGTGTCCTGTTCCTCAGGCTGAGAATCCCTGGCATTGCCATGGGCTTTGTAATCAGTTTTGATTCAGCAGACTGGCACTCACCCGGAGTCTGGGACTGTGCAGATTTGGGCTATATAGCACAGCGTAGTTAAAAGTATGGGCCATAATCTAATTACCTGAGTTCAAATCTTGGGTCTAGCACTTATTAACTGTGCCACCAGGGACAAGTTACCCTTCTTGTGACTCACCCTTCTCATCTGTACAATTTGGTAGTGATAGTACTTTTCCTTAGTATTTTTTGTGGAGATTAAATGTGTTAATACATATAAAATCTTCAGACAAGTACCTGGCATAGAGTAAGTGCTCAATAGATAGTAACTGCTCTTATCAATGTTGATATTGTCATTCCTCTGTCACCATGAACCAGTCTATTTGTATAATCCTGAAAGGTGGGAGAGCTGGTTCCCCCAGGAGGATGTCTGTGGCATGGGGAAGTGTGGTCCTCTCATTCCTGTCCCCTGGACAGGTACAAAGAAGGCCTTGCTAATACAAGAGAGATCCTGGTGGATCTGGGCCTGGAGCCCTCTGAGGCCGACTGCATTGCTGTCCAGCATGTCTGCACCATCGTCTCCTTCCGTTCCGCCAACCTCTGTGCAGCAGCGTTGGCGGCCATCCTGACGCGCCTCCGGGAGAACAAGAAGCTGGCGAGGCTCCGGACCACGGTGGGCATGGATGGCACACTCTACAAGATACACCCCCAGTGAGTGCCGCCTGCCCGCCTACAACCCCTCCAACAGGCCTCTCCTGGGGCCGGGTTCCAGTGTTCTCAATGAACGATGCTGTGTATCTGGGCAGCTGGAACCGAACACCACTGTATAGTCTAAGATTAAAAGGAAAGGTTGAATCCAAAGCCTACTTTCCCCTAAATGGTTGGGTTGCTTTTGGGAATCACTCGCAAAGATATAGTCTGCTCAAGCCAATTGCCTAATTAGGAAGGCCATCTATCCATCTACCCATCCATCTGTATGGGTGTCTGTCCACCCATATAGCCATCCATCCATCCATCTACCCATCCATCCATCCATCCACCATCCATCCATCCATCTACCCATCCATCCATCCATCCACCATCCATCCATCCATCTACCATCCATCCATTATCCATCTACCCATCCATCCATCTATCTACCCATCCATCCATCCATCTACCATCCATTCATTCATCCATCTATCTACCCATCCATCCATCCATCTATCCATCCATCCATCCATCCATCCATCCATCCATCCATCCATCATTCATTCATTATTTATTGAAACCTACTAGGTGGTAAGATTGGAAAATAAGATACACCCAGTTAGAGATGGGAAAAAACAGAAGTGGCAGAAAAACAGAATGGAATCCCCTTTGACTAATGGAGGTCAGGCTGGAAGTCGAGTGGGAACACTCTAGAAAGGGCTAAGCAAGAAGATCCTTCTTTAGACGGAGAAGATGCCCAGCTAATACATTATGCATGGATGTACCCCACTGGTGGAATATTAGCTGATCAAATGGGCATTTCCTTGAGCCTCCCGAGTGTCCTYCCACTGTCCCAGCTGTCCTCGTCACCCTCCATAACATTTAGCAACTGCAGATGCAGTCCCCACTCCACCTGGGTCTCTTCCCATTAGTCAGACCTGACTGTTGATATTTTGCATCACCCCTRCCTCCAGGTACCCCAAACGCCTGCACAAGGTGGTGAGGAGACTGGTCCCAAACTGTGATGTCCGCTTCCTCCTGTCAGAGAGTGGCAGCACCAAGGGGGCCGCCATGGTGACGGCGGTGGCTTCCCGTGTGCAGGCCCAGAGGAAACAGATTGATGAGGTGCTGGCCTTGTTCCAGCTGACCCCRGAGCAGCTGGTGGGCGTGCAGCACAAGATGCGGACTGAGTTCGAGTACGGGCTGAAGAGGAAGACGCAGGCGCTGGCCACAGTCAAGATGCTGCCCACCTACGTCTGCGGGATGCCCGACGGCACAGGTGGGTCCGCCAGCCCCCTGCTCTGAAGGGCCGCCCAGAGCTCCCATCAAAACTCCCTAAGCCGGGTGTGGTAGTGTACATCTGGAATCCCAGCAGCTCAGGAGGCTGAGGCAGGAGGATTGTGAGTTCAAAGCCAGCCTCAGCAACTTAGCGAGGACCTAAGCAACTCAGTGAGACCCTGTCTCTAAATAAAATACAGAAGAAGGCTGGGGATATGGCTCAATGAGTAAGTGCCCCTGAGTTCAATCCCCAGCACACACTGTGCCCCCGAAAAAAAACCCTAAATCCAGGGAGGTATTTGGTTTTTAGATCGTTGGATTCATGTCTGTAATGAAAGGAGGAGATGGGGGTTCACTCTCCTTCTGAACTGTGTGCCTCGGTTGACCCAAGGGTGTGTGTGTGTGTGTGAGCATGTGTGCACGTGTGTCTATGTGTGTAGGTAAAGACGTGAGCAGACAGAAGGCCCAGGTCCTCCTGTCCCTGAGCGTCTGTCTGGGTCACTGGGCTGGTCATCCTGCCGGTCCTCTCCTGGGGCTTGGACTGCTCTCCTTCCTCTCATTGGTTTCTGCTCTGGACTTTTTCAACTCTTGATCCTGGTCCTGCGCCTTGGGCTCAGGGGAGAGAAGCCTCTGAAGAGGACAGTAAGTTCTTTAGAAAAAATCTTTTACCTCTTCGAATCTCACGGACTTCTTACTGAAATAACGACCTTTGTGAGATGATTCACATCTTATAATTTGCATTTGAACCTTTACTTCCATTTCATCTCCAAAAACACTTTGTATGTTTCTCAAAGAGGAAATGKTTCCCATTTTATGGATACCCAAACTGAGACTTAGGGGTTTAGTGACCTGCTGAGGTYACCTGTTCTGGATCTCTAAACAACCAAGATCTTTCCGAAGCCCAAATCCTTTGAGTTTACATGAGAAACACAGCCACACATACACATACACACCCACCCACACCAAAACCCCAAATCCAGCTGGGGGTGGTGATGCACACTTAAGATCCTGATGACTCAGAAGGCTTAGGCAGGAGGATCACAAATTTGAGGCCAACCTTCGCCACTTAGAATCTGTGTCAAAATAAAAAGGACTGAGGATGTAGCTCAGTGGCTCAGTGGTAAGTGCCCCTGGGTTCAAGGTTCAATGCATCAAAACAAACAACTCCCCAAAATAAAAACAAAGCAAAATCAAATATATAAAAAAATCTCATAATTACTTAATTATTCATATTCTTCATTTCTTTCATCCTTCTGCCTTCACTCCTCAAAGCTCTGTTACCAACCTACTGCTCTATTCCAGGCACAGTAACAGAGCAGTGAAGTATAGCCCCTGCCCTTGTGGGTGGGGCTCACAGCTGCTAGGCAATGAGGATGGAGAGTTCAAAACCAGCCTCAGCAAAAGAGGCGCAGTAAGCAACTCAGTGAGTCCCCGTCTCTAAATAAAATACAAAAAAGGGCCGAGGATGTGGCTCAGTAGTCGGGTGCCTCTGAGTTCAATCCCCAGTACCCCTGCCCCCCACCAAAAAAAAAAAGTGAGTGACACTGAGCAGCAGGGAGAAGGTTCTCTGGGAAGGAGGCAGATGATGCGGGCAGCAGGGAAGCCCAAGGCTCTGACWGCACATGGGGCCCACAGGTACCGAGGGAGAAGGACTTGACACGGTTTTTCATTAGTCAGACTGGGGTGTGTGGGGATCAGGGGAAGGAGAGGGAGCAAGAAAAATCATCCCATGCTGTGACAAGGACCCCTCTAGGCTGCACAGACAGGATGGAAGCACCTTCCGGAGTCCTTGCGGTCAGGGTCACCTGGCCCAGAGTCACCCTCAGAGGCCTCTTGCAAGTCAGTTTCAGTGTGTCCTTTACCAACGCCCTGTTCCTAGAACACAGCGCCTTGGGGCTTCCTAACAGGCCACCGCGGGGTGGAACTCAGAGCCTGAAAGGCCCTCAGAGGCCCAACCTCTTATTCTGCAGGTGTGGAAAGGTAGGGCCTGGCCACCCTTGCTTAAGGCGAAAAGCCATCTTTCAGAACCACTAGGTCCCTTTCCTGCAGTTCAGGGCTCTTTTTGTGGCACCTCACCAGGGATAGCTTAGGGACACCTGGCCTTTGCAGTCTGGCCTCAGACAGGTGCAACCTCCYTGTGCAGGACCCTGACCCTCTGGTCTGGAGCCCAGGTCTGCTGGGCTTGGGCCTCTCCTCCTCCCCCCAGTGCCCTGACACCAGTCCCTGAGTGCATCCTGGAGAACGCAGCCTTCACTTTCTCCCCACAGAGAAAGGAAAGTTCCTGGCCCTGGATTTAGGGGGGACTAACTTCCGGGTCCTCCTGGTGAAGATCAGAAGTGGACGGAGGTCAGTGCGGATGTACAACAAGATCTTTGCCATCCCCCTGGAGATCATGCAGGGCACTGGCGAGGAGGTGAGTGTCGGGAGGGAGTTTCGTGCCCCRTGGGCGCCGCTCGCACCCTGATGGGTGCCCAGTGGCATGGATGTGTCTCTCCCCGCAGCTGTTCGACCACATCGTGCAGTGCATCGCCGACTTCCTGGACTACATGGGCCTCAAGGGAGCCCGGCTGCCTTTGGGCTTCACCTTCTCCTTTCCCTGCAGGCAAATGAGCATTGACAAGGTGAGGCAGCTTGCGGTGGGGGGTTGGGGGGGTGCTCTTCTCCTCTGGGGCAGCTCAGGTTTCCTCCCAGGCACTCTTGACTTGGTTGAGGAGTCGTAATTCAGAGCAGCTAGAAACACATGGTGGAATTTTTTTCTTTTTTTGTACTGGGGATTGAAGTCAGGGACATTCGAYCACTGAGCCACATCCCCAGCCCTATTTTGTATTTGATTTAGAGACARGGTCTCACTGAGTTGCTTAGTGCCTCACTGTGGCTGAGGCTGGCTTTGAACGTGGGATCCTCCTGTTTTAGTCTCCTGAGCTGCTGGGATTACAGTTGTGCRTCACTAAGCTGGGCCATGGTGGAATATTTTAACGATTAAATAAAAATGTGTGTGTGTGTTTTCTTGTTGTTGTTGTTCAAATCCAGAACTTGCTATTTATTAGCCATGTGACTTTGGATGATTTATTTAACTCTCTGTACTTTAATTTCCTCACTTAAAACATGAGGAGAGCTGGGCATGGTAGTACACAATTGTAATCCCAGGGYTTGGGAGGTTGAGGCAGGAGGATGAAGAGTTCAAGCCAGCCTCTGCAAAAAATGAGGCCCTAAGCAACTCAGTGAGACCCTGTCTCTAAATAAAATACAAAATAGGGCTGGGGTTGTAGCTCAGTGATCAAGTACCTCTGAGTTCAATCCCTTGTTCCCTTTCCCCTACAAAAATGAGGATAAATATACACCCYTTTTTAAAGGTATGTTTTATGGATTCCAAAATTTATCTGCAATTATATTTGAGGAATATTTTGTTCAGTGAAGGAATGTAACAGATCCCTGTCAAGTGATTTAGAAAGGTCTAGAAGGAGCATCATTGAAGAAGAAAACAAATAGCAATCGTTTATAGTGTATGAATTATTTATTWAAAAACATACATAGGCATAGAGAAAAAGATCTGGAAGGATTCCTACTGGACTAATAGTAGAGGTGACCTCCTATAGTAGAGGTGATGGGGAGTCAGAAGGGAATGCATTCTTGTCGGTCGTGTTTTAGTTCTTTAAAGAGGATCCTATCCCTGTGTCACTGTGGCCCTAGGAATCAATAYACTGTGGGGGAGGGGGAGCTGTGTGCAGCTGTCCACGGTCCTGAAGGGCTGATGGGCTCCAGGACACAGTTGTGCTTCTGACCTGGGGCACTGGGTTTCTAGGGCCTCTTCTTCCAGCTGTTCTGACGAGTTTGTTCTGACAAGATGAGCAAGTGGGCAGCYGGGAACAAAACCGCCCAGGGCTGGAGGAAAAATGAGATTAAAAGTAGATAACATTTTTGTGTAACTGCAGTTTACAAGAGAGAGGTATTTCAGTTGGGCTGTCTCTCTGATTTGTCTACACATGTCAAGCAGGAAAGGAGCAAAGTGGCCCAGTTTCTTGAGGACTGAGGAGAAAAGGAGGGAGACCGGGGCTTGCTGGCCGAGGGCCTCAGGGTGAGGTGGCATCGAGCCACAGGGGTGGGGCACTCCCGCCGGGTTTGCTGGCCATGTCTCCTTCCCAAGACCTCTCTTGGCCCAGATACCCCAACTCTGCCAGCTGTCCCCTCTCCTAACTTTCTGGGCTGCAGAGCTAGGGCTAGAGTGCCGTCTGCTTCAGGTGAACAGGACAACCTTGGGCTTCTCTTTAAAATTAAATACTTCTCAAAATTGTAAAATAGCTGGGCATGGTGGCGCATGCCTGTAATCCCAGCTCCGGAGGCTGAGGCAGGAGGATCACCAGTTCAAAGCCAGTCTCAGCAACTTAGCAAGGGCCTAAGCATTTCAGTGAGATCCTGTATCTAAATAAAATATAAAAAAGGGCTGTGGATGTGTCTCAGTGGTTAAGCACCCCTGGGTTCAATCCCTGGTACCAAAACAAAAAACAAACAAACAAACAAATCTAAAATAGTGTTTCAGATCTTTTTCCAGGTTCATGTGCATATGTAATTTTTCAAAATAAAAACAGAATGATTCACTATCTGTATTTGTTTACTGAGCTTTCACTTAAYAGTGCCTAAGGGACATTGTTCTCAAACATCCAGTGTTCTCCTGCAGCATACTTTAAGTGGCAGAATGACATTTTTTATATTCCTGCATAAGATGATAGGTCTCCTGGATATTGTTGCAATCATAGGATGCCTCTAGTTTCTTTGTTCTTGTGGAACAATGCTTTGTCAAACATGTTATAACTGCACCTTTGATCCCATCTCAATCCATCCTAGGGTGAATTAGAAGTGGGACTTCTTCTCTGATCCCGGGCTTTGATTCTGTGCAGTAATGGCAGGGAACATGGCTGACCCTTGAAGAACAGGAATCGTGGCAGTGACTCCACACAGTGCTAGACCTTGTCCGGGCATCCTGCTCAGTGACACCTCCGTGCTGTGTTAGGGCTGCAGAGGCAGAAACACAATCAAAAGCTCGCCTGCTTGGCTCGCCATCAAATTGTCAGTGTCTAGTAGAAGTCAAAGTTCGTGGTGGTCCTTGTGAACTATGGCTCAGATGAATTTCCCCTCCTTTCTTTCAGGGAACACTCATAGGGTGGACCAAAGGCTTCAAGGCCACCGACTGTGAAGGGGAGGATGTGGTGGACATGCTCAGAGAAGCCATCAAGAGGAGAAATGTAGGCCATGTGTGGAGTCTCATGCCTGACCTTGCCCCCTTCCCCCAGGCCCTCTGCTCTGCCACCCTAGTCCCCGTGACTCCTCCACATCCTGCTTCCAGTAGAACTTCCTCCTTTGCAGGAGTTCGACCTGGACATAGTTGCGGTTGTGAATGACACAGTGGGGACCATGATGACCTGTGGCTATGAAGATCCTAACTGTGAGATTGGCTTGATTGCAGGTAAGTGGTTAGACAATTGCCTGGACCACTATGTTGAGAGCAGTTCTGAGGCCAGGTCCTAGGCAAGGGAAAAAAATGGTAGTTTACAGATGTCACATGTTTGCTAAYCCCATCCCAGTCCTTAAGAGATTCTCACATAGCAAGAGGCGGTGCGGGTGGGGCAACTCACTATTTCTCCATTATGCAGAGGCTCTGTCCAAGGCAGAGAAGAAATTAATTAAGATTGGGATTCCAGGTTGCCTGATTTTGAAATCTCCACTTAGTAGCTTCTTCCATTAAGGGTTCTAAATCAGGTTGATCCTTTTTGTTGAGGAAGGAGATGACATAGAAAGAAGGGACTTTTCAAATGATGGCTTTGGGACAAGACTTTCTTAGGAAGAAAGAGACCAGCATTGAATCACTCTGGACCCCATGTGCACCACCTTGTTTCTCTGGTTCTTAGGGTACGTAGGAAGGAGATGATTTGGAAAGAAAATGAGAAGASGGGAAGAGAGTGGCCTGAAACCATACAGACATTTTAGGGATCTTTGGAAGAAGTTTGGCAGTGATTAAGGCCCAGGGTAGATTCCAAATAGGAACGACCTTCTCTAAGAGGTTGAGGGACACGTGGGATTTGAACAGGTGAAGATGTGAACAAACGTCACTCCAGGTGACAGGCACAGACTGAGTAGTGACAGAACCTGGGAAGTTGTTCCAGAGGGTTGTTTGGGCATCTTGAACAYGAGCAGCAGGCAGAACAAAGAGAGGCAGATTGGCTTCACCTCCCTCAAACCCTTACCTAGTTTGCTTATCCAAGACTAGCTGATTCCTCCTGCTCCCTTCCAGCTTTGGCTTCTAATTCTATGACTCCGGGGAAGCTCTGTGGTTTTGATAAAGATGATGAAAATAGCCGGGCACGGTGGATCATGCCTGTAATTCCTGTAATCTCCTGTGGCTCAGGCGGCTGAGGCAGGAGGATCATGTGTTCAAAGCCAGCCAAGCACTAAGCAACTCAGTGAGACCCTGACTCTAAATAAAATACAAAAGAGGGCTGGGGATGTGGCTCAGTGGTCGAGTGCCCCTGAGTTCAATCCCTGGTACCAAAAAAAAAAAAAAAAACAGAGAGAGAAATGATGACGACGTCAGGTACCATTTATACTGAATACTTATAAATATCACCTCATTTTTTATTTATAAAAAATTCATAAGTCAGGCCTTATTTCTTTTATTTTTACTTTTTGGGAGGGAGGGTACTGGGGATATACAATATTCAAACAGGCCTTGTCTCGTGGCCCCCTAGATCTAGCTCATCCCTCCTGCAGATGAGAAAACTCAGTCAGACAGAATAAGCAACCTGCCCAGCTCCCAAAGTAGGTAAGGATTTGAGTGAAGTGAGGCCTCTACCTGGCATTGAAGCCATCTCAGCAGATCTGCATCTTTTTGTTCTGCCTGCTGCTTATATTCAAGGTGCCCAGACAACCCTCTGGAACAACTTCCCAGGCCAGCCAGCTGAGTACAGAGCTGGATTCATCCAGTCCTGTGGTGCTGGGGATTGAACCCAGGGCCTTGTGCACTTGTGCATGGGAAACAAGCACTCTACCAACTGAGCTGTATCCCCAGCCCTCCAATCCTGATTCTTATTCACTGTCCCACGCTGCCCAAGACCTCATGGTGTCTTAGAGAATTAAATTCCCTTCACAATTTCTTCTAGGGACAGGAAGCAACATGTGCTACATGGAGGAGTTGCGGAACATCGAGCTGGTGGACGGGGATGAGGGCAAGATGTGTATCAACACAGAGTGGGGAGGATTTGGAGACAATGGCTGCATAGATGAMATCCGGACCCAGTACGACAAGGAGGTGGATGAGGGGTCCTTGAATCCTGGCAAACAGAGGTGAAGAGGGCTGATGTGGACACTTATACAGGGTGTGCAGGGAGCAACTTTACAGGGCCTAAGGGCGGGTGCTATTTCTGTATCGTTGACATGATAGCTTTGCATGTTTATTATAGCTCTCCATCAGCTGTCAAAGCAATGAAAGAAAAATATGATGTTTCCCACAGGTAGAAGGAAGGGGTCTCCTTTTCTAATTTCCAGAAGGAACCATAAGGGCTAGTCTTGGCTCTGGAAGCAAGGGAGAGCTGTCAGAGGTCTACTCACTGGGGCTGGGGGCAGAGCAGGGATGTGCTGGCTTAATGAGCTCTCTGGGATGGACGGACGCTTAATCAGTCCACTTTAGAAATCGACATCCTTGGTCTTTTAAGATCTGCTACCAGGTTGGTGATCTCTGGACTRGGGGACGGGAAAGCGGGCCCCTGTGGTGGATGGGGAGGGAGGGCTTGTTCTCAAGGGCAACAGCATGTCATATCATGGGTCACCATCCATGGCAAGGTATATACCAATTACTCATCACACTAAAAACACTAGAAAAAATGACTTTTAAAAATTGGGACTAGATTTTCTCTTGCACGGTGATATGCCTGCTGGAGTGGGGGAGAGAGTGGTAGATTGGGCTGTTATATGAGGCTTTGATGATTGACGTGGGCCCACAAACTGGAACAGGGGGTGGCAAACCCCTTCTGCAGAGCACCAGGTGGTAACTGTTTTTGCAGGCCAAAGGGTCTTTATTACAATCAAGACTCAGTATCTGCATACCAAATTAAGGGGAAATGCAGATATATTGACACTGGGAGGGTGGGCAGGTAGGACGTGATGAGATGCCTGGGCCAGGGACACCTTCGAGACTGTTCCTAGAATGTTGTCTAGAGGAGGCTCAGGCAAGGCTAGGACCAGCCCTTATGGCCCCTTGCCTGCCTCTGGCATCAGTCTTTGTCCCTGGAAGGTAGGTGAGCTTTGGTAAGGCCGGCTAAACAGGAATTGCTCCAAAAAGAAGGGACTTTCTTCRTTTTGGATTTTGTTTTTGGTACCAGGGTTTAAATCCAGGGGTGCTTTACTACTGAGTCACATCCCCAGCCCTTTTGATTTTTTATTTTGAGACAGGGTCTCACTAAGTTGCTGAGGCTGGCTTTGAACTTGCGATCCTCCTACCTCAGCCTCTGGAACTGCTGGGATTACAGGCATGCGCCTCTGCACCTGGTGGGACCTTATCTCTGCATCCCCCAAGTATCAAGGCTCTTCTTGATACTTGGGGCAGAYACAAGGGGCAGAGTCCTTGTGTCATAATTTTGTGTTTGTATCCACTGGGGCCCGTGTTTTGGGACTGACAGTTTAAGGGCCGAACACTTGAATTGGCCTCGCCATCACCATTCTTCTTCTGTCCTGGTGTTGGTTTCTTAGGCTGAAAGATCCCGTATCCTTTAGAGAGCAGGAGCCCAGCATGGAAGTCTCAGGCGTGCTCCTATCTCCATTGGCCTCTGCAGCCAATGAGAGCCCAGCTCTGCATGGTTGTTGGGATACCCTGCAGCCATCGTTCACCTACCTGGGCAGAGTGTCTTCCGGGTGCCTCGCTGCTTCCCAAGCCCCCTTTCCCCTTGCTATTTGCCCTCCAGRAGCTCACACTCTGGTGGAAAGAGAGAAGAACTAACATTTTTTGTGCACATTTTATGTGAAGGTAGTTTCAATGTACGTGCAGGTAGATGAATTCTAGTGGAATAAATGGCTTCATACAAAGCCAAGGAGACCCTCTAATAGATCCGATTTGCAGCAAAGCCAGAGAGAATGGGCTTTGGGGCCAAGAGCAGGACTAGGTTTTGCTCAGTGCACCCAGATGCTTGCCTTCTGTTATTCTCTGGGTCCCTGATTGGCAGGAGGGCTCCCAGTCCTTGCTTACCTCTCAGCGGGATGCGGGAGAGCTGGCCTGGTTCCTGGTGCACGTGGTGGAAGCCTGCCTTCCCACAGCACACTCTTTTCTGCCTTGCATCTGGAGAGAGCCTCTCCAGGCCTCCACTGCCCCAGGCCTGCCCTGAACCATTGGCAATGGCATGCCTTCCACACCGGGCCCAGGGTGCATTTTCAAAGCCACTTGCCATCACTGATTTTCCTGTCCTTACCCACTTATCCCTGTTCTCCAAACAGATATGAGAAAATGACCAGTGGCATGTACCTGGGGGAGATCGTGCGGCAGATCCTGATTGACCTGACCAAACAGGGTCTCCTCTTCCGAGGGCAGATTTCAGAGCGACTCCGGACCAGGGGCATCTTTGAAACCAAGTTCCTGTCCCAGATTGAAAGGTGACRTGTGATCAGGTTTACCTGCTGTGTGTGAAATGTTCCAAATGGGATGTGATGTTATCATGCCRGGCTCCAGTAGGGTTCAGAATTTAAAATTAAAACAGGATGGCCCTATTTGGGTGGGGGCTGATGCCTGGGCTGCTCCCTCTCCCCAGCTGTGTAAGATCACAGTCCCAAGGTCCCTGAGTGTGGCCGAGAGGCCGGCGGATGGCTTGAGTGGGCCTCAGAGTCCTTAGCAGAAATGACCAACTCCAGGAGTTAGATTAAGGCCAAAAAGTAATCTTCTTTTATTCCTGAAATGATGATCTGTCCATAATACAAAAGTCTTACCAAAAAATCACCCATATGTTCACTACCAAATAATGCTATTTTGCTGGGTGTGGTGGTGCATGCCTATAATCCCAACATCTTGGGAAGCTGAGGCAGGAGGATTGCAAGTTCAAAGTCATCTCAGCAACTTAGTGAGGCCCCTAAGCAACTTAGTGAGACCCTGTCTCTAAATAAAATATAAAAAAAGGTTGGGGATGTGGCTCAGGGGTTAAGCACCCCTGAGTTCAATCCCTGGTACCCCAAACAACAACAATAAACAAAAAATAAAAACAAAAAACCAAATATAGTTTTGATTTTTATATATTGTATTTCCTTTTAAGTTCTTGACTACATATAAAGATGTTTTCACAATTGCAGTCATATTATATATATCAGAGGTAGAGGAAATAATAAAATGAACTCAGTGTTTCCATCACCACCATCATTGATGATCAATTCATGGCTGAACTGGGTTCATCTGTACAATTTTGTACCCACCTCTGGGTTAGCTTAATTTGAAATAAATCCCATATTTTATGTCATCTCAAATATAAATATTTCAAAATGTATTTCTAAAATATGAGTTCACTACAAAAGCATGACCACAGMACCTTTATCATGCCTGAATAGAAAATGATAAGCCTTAATCTCAAAATATCTTCTAGTGTTCCCACTTCCTGAATTGCCCAAAGATAGTGATTTAAACAGTTGTTTGCATCTGTAACAAGGTCCATGCATGGCATTTGGCTGATGTTTCTAAAATCTGTTTTCATCTACAGCTTTCCCACCCTCTCTTGTTTCTCTTTAAAACATATTTGTTGAGGAAGCTATCATCTTATGTTTCCTATATTCTAGACTTTTCTGATTATAGCAATTAGCATTTTTCTCTGTCTCTTGTATTTTCTGAAAAACTTACAGCTAGATCGAGATGCTTGGTTAATTCAGTGTTGAATTTTGGACAAGCGTATTTCATAGGTGGTACTGAGCTGTCTTTCTTCTGTGATATCACCAGTCGTTGATGTTCATTGCTCCAACCTCCTGAGTAGCTGGGATTATAGGCATGCGCCACCACACACAGCGAATTTTTTTTTTTTAACCATACAAATGTTAYTCACTTATTTTTTTAAAATTTTCTATTTATTTTTTAGTTTTCGGCAGACACATCATCTTTGTATGTGGTGCTGAGGATCGAACCCGGGCCACATGCRTGTCAGGCGAGCGCGCTACCGCTTGAGCCACATTCGCAGCCCCTTCACTTATTTTTTTAAAAAAAGTTTTAAGTAYATGGGTAAGCAAAAGGAAGAAAATAAGATGACGGTAATCCTACCAACATCTGAATAGCTTTCCTTCTGTTTTCTTGTTTTTGAGTGTGTGGTGGTTTTTTGTTTTATTTTGGCCTGTGCATGACATTAAAACAAACCAAAAACCAAGGGCAAACATAATATTTTATAATCTATTCTTTACTATGTCATGAATATTTTCCATGGCATTAAATATTCTCAAAAACTTAGCAATCTTGGGCTGGGGATGTGGCTCAAGCGGTAGCGCGCTCGCCTGGCATGTGTGCGGCCCGGGTTCGATCCTCAGCACCACATACCAACAAAAGATGTTGTGTCTGCCGAAAACTGGGAAATAAATATTAAAAAGTTCTCTTTCTTCTGTCTCTCTCTCTCTCTCTCTCTCTCTCTCTCTCTCTCTCTCTCTCTCCTCTCTCWCTCTCTCTTWWAAAAAAAAAAAAAAAAACTTAGCAATCTTGTTAAGTTTCTGAGGCTGGCCTCAAACTTGTAATCCTCCTGCCTCGGCCTCCTGAGTTGCTGGGATTATAGGTACGTACCTGCTCAATCCTTTTTTCTGGCCACGTAAGTTATATCACAGTTATTCTTTCTTGACAACACACATCTTCCCTGAGTATCTCTGAGACAGTCAAGGATTAACTTCACATTGTTTAGGTTGATATTCAGAGCTCTGTGTAAGTATCACCTGTTACCACTAGTTTCCTGGGAAATAATTAGGGTCTAGACTTGAGGCCAGTCTGTCCTATGATGACAGTTTCTCTGCATAAATTTACAGTCCTTTTTGGTGCCCACGCCTTTTCTTATTTGGTACCAGGGATTGAAACCAGGAGTGCTTAACCACTGAGCTATTCCCCAGCTCTTTTTTAATATTTAGAGACTGGGTCTCGCTGAGTTTCTTAGGGCCTCGCTAAGTTGCAGAGACTGGCTTTGAACTTGCAATCCTCCTGCCTCAGCCTGCTGAGCTGCTGAGATGACAGGCTTGCACTACCACACCCAGCTAAATATTTTATCTTCATTTGTTCCCTTACTCATTGAATGTACTCAGCCCTGTGCTGGCTTCGGCTAAGAATATAGCTCTATTGTAGTTAGGAAGAGAAAGCAGATAATCAGAAAAAGTTAAGCAGAGGGACTGGAGTTGTGGCTCAGTGGTACAGCACTTGCCTAGCATGTGTGAAGCACCGGGTTTGATATAAATGAATAAAATAAAGGTCTGTCAACAACTAAAAAATTTWAAAAAAAAGTTARGCAKAAAGAAAATTTGGCTCCCAATGAATGGGGGCAGAGTCCTGGAGCTGGCCCTTGGGAGAGTGCTAGAGTTGGTGGGAGGGGGCTTGTGTTTGAACCTCTCTTCTCTGTTGTCTGAGAAGGCAGGTCTCCAGCACTCTGAACCCCAGACTCTTCTTCTAAAAAATGGGCSTCTGGTATATTGGTTGCTGACTCTAACATTAGTGCCTAGTGAGATGAGGGTTGTGAGCATGCCTCACACCAGAGGTGCTCACGCTTTGCTCTTTAAAGATGATGGAACTTCTTGGGCTGGTGGAGCCTCTTGAGTCTCAGCTTCTAAGCATTCTGTTCCAGCTTYGCCTTTGCCTGGATCATTTTCTCTTTCTTCCTGCCAGGACATGCATGGGGGGCAGGGGAGTATGGTCAAGCTGCCCAGGTTCCAGAGCCCCAGCAAACGGGGGCTGACATCCTCCTCTGCTTGCCCACAGTGACCGGCTGGCCCTCCTCCAGGTCCGGAGGATCCTGCAGCAGCTGGGCCTGGACAGCACATGTGAGGACAGCATCGTGGTGAAGGAGGTGTGTGGAGCCGTGTCCCGCAGGGCGGCCCAGCTCTGTGGCGCAGGCCTGGCTGCCATCGTGGAAAAGAGGAGAGAAGACCAGGGGCTGGAGCACCTGAAGATCACCGTGGGCGTGGACGGCACCCTGTACAAGCTGCACCCTCAGTGAGTGGCCCTGGGAGCCGGGAAGGGGGTGGGGCAGGAGCTGTGCTGGTGGTCAACGTAGGAGAGGTGCCCCCGCCCTTGGCTGGCAGGGGGCTGGCACGGGTAGGAAGGACAGGGTGTCAAATCAGAGACAAGAGGGGAGTCTGGGTGCCTCTGCTTCTTGGTGGCACCGTGTGGGAATATTAGCCAACCTCTCCAAACCCCAGGCTTCTCCTCTGTGACAGGCCAGCCCCAGTGGTCCCTACCTCTCAGGGCAAAATGCACGTGGATTAAATGAATTAATTTGTGTCAAGTGCTCTCTGCATCGTACTTGAAAACCACGTTATTATATTCCCACTTGACCCCACAGGGTAGTAAAGAGACCTGATTATTTTGCAGGGCTCAGAGCTCTTGTCCAATATGAGCTGGTGATAATTTTCTTAGCTCAGAGTCCTGGGACAGAAGGACGAAAAGCCCCTGTTGCAAAACGTGGGTTTGACCCTTGGCTCCACCCAGTGGAGGCTGGGAGGCCTCCGGCTGCTTCGCACCCTCTTTGAGCCTCAGTTCTTTCTGTGGAATGAGGACCGAAATCTTACCCACCTCATCCGTTGTTGTGGGGATTAGTTTTAAATAGCTTTAATAATGAAAGCTATTATTTTATTTAGTGTTTTGCATTTATTTGGCAAAAAATGTGATGAAATAGCTAGCTTCTAAAATTTCCATTTGTGTTGAACTGTATTCACGGAGATATTGATGTTATGGTGAGCCTGAACCCCTAGCCCTTGCTCTGCTGTGGGTAATTGACGGGCATTTTCTCTTGGTGTTCCCTTGGGGGTCACAGAGTTTTGGTCTGGTCCCTTGAATCAAAACTTGAACAAGGGATAGGGACCATATGATTATTTCAATGGGTGCAAAGAACTTGATAAAATCTAACACTCATCATAATAAAAGCCCTCCACAAATTAGGAATAAAGAAATTTCCTTAACCTGGTAAAAAGCATCTGTGTAAACCCACAGCTAACGTCTGTCATGGTAAAAGAGTGGGAGATTTAGCCAGGCACCGTGGCGATCGCCTGTAACCCTAGCAGCTTGGGAGGCTGAGGCAGGAGGATCGCGAGTTCAAAGCCAGCCTCAACAACTGAGGGAGGCCCTAAGCAACTCAGTGAGACCCTATCTCTAAATAAAATACATAATGGCGCTGGGGATGTGGCACAGTGGTCGAGGGCCCCTGAATTCAATCCCAGGTCGCTGCCCTCCAAAAAAGAGATGGTGTTTTGCTTTTAAGCTCAGGGACAAGTCAAAGAAATACACTCTCACCACTGTTGCTCAGCAATGTCCTGTCTCGAGTGTGGCCACCAGCTGATCACATGGCTTTTTATCTCTCAGACAAGGATTGATTCATGGATGAGGCTTTCAGAATCCAGACTAAACATATGTGACCCTCAAGGGGAAAATCAATATCGAATCTAGCCATGGCAGTTAGGGAAGAAAAGTTTCCAAAGAACATTCTATTGGAAAGGCCAAGGGAAAACTGTCTTTATTTGCAAATGACATGATTTCATATAGAGAAAGTCCTAAGGAATCCACACACACACTCAAAAATAATACTCAAGCTAGTAGACAAGTTCAGCAAAGTTCAGGATGCAAAATGGATACCCAAAAGTCAACTGTAGCTGGATATGGTGGCACATGTAAATCCAGCTCCTCAGCAGGCTGAGACAGGAGGCTCCCACGTTTGAGGCCAGCCTGGGCAATTTGGTGACACCCTGCCTCATAAAATAAAATAAAATGAAGAGGGCTGGGGATGTAGATCAGTGATAGAGCACCCCGGGTTTAGTCCCTGGTACAACAATAAGAACAGTGAAAAAGTCAATCGTACTTTATATACTTTCAATGAACAGCCTAAAAATGAAACTAAGACAGCAATTCCTGGGACTGGGGTTGTGGCTCAGTGGTAGAGTGCTTGCCTAGCACATGTGAGGTACTGGGGTTCGATCCTAAGCATCACATAAAAATAAATAAATAGGGCTGGGGATATAGCTCAGTTGGTAGAGTGCTTGCCTCGCATGCACAAGGCCCTGGGTTCAATCCTCAGCACCACACACACAAAATAATAAATAAAATAAAAATAAAAATAAAAAAATAAAAGAAAGCAATTCCACTTACAATAGCATCAAAAGAACAGAATACTTAGGAATACACTTAACCAAAGAAGTATAAGATTTTTACTCTGAAAATTGCAAAACATCTAAAGACAATAAAGAAGAAATAATATAGGTAAATGGAGAGACATCTCATGTTCATGGACTGAAGGACTTAATATTACTATGAGAGCAATAATACCCAAATTGATCTACAGATTCCACATAATCCCTATCAAAATCCCATCTGGGTTGGGTTTGCAGCTCAGTGGTGAAGCACTTGCCCAACATGTGTGAGGCCCTGGGCTCCATCCCCAGCACTGGGGGGAAAAATCCAATTGGTTTTTTTGGAGAAATTGTCAAGCTGCTCCTAAAATTCATATGTATTCAATGTAAGGCCCCAGAACAGCCCCAACAATCTTGAATAATAAGAAAGTTGTAGGGCTGGGGTCATAGTTCAGTGATAAAGCGCTTGCCTAGGATGGTGTGAGCCGCTGGGTTTTATTCTCAGTACTACATGTAAATAAATAAATTAATTAAAGGTCCATTGACAACTAAAAAAAAATATTTTTTAAAGTTTTCAAACTCACATTTCCTGATTTTAAAATCAGTGATTAAGTCAGTATGGTACTGGCATAAATACAGACATATAAATCAATGGAATGTAATTGACAATCCAGAAATAAACCCTTATATATAGGTCAATTGATTTTTGATAAAGGCACCAAAGCCATTCAATGGCAAAAGCCCAGTCTTTTCAACCCACGGTGTGACAACTGGGTAGACACCAACAAGAATACAGAGTAGGACACCTGCCTCCCACCACACATGGCAGTTAACTCAAAATGAATCGAAGCCCTAATGGAGGAGCTAAAACTGAAAAATCTTAGAGGAAAACGTATGTAAATCTTTGTGACCTTGGATGAGATAATGGTTTCTTAAATCTGACATAAAAAGAAAAAAGAAATAAGCAACAATAACCAAAAAAAAAGACAAATTGTACTTTATCAAAAATTAAAAATGGGACTGGGGTTGTGGCTCAGGGGTAGAGCGCTCGCCTAGCATGCATGAGGCATGGGGTTCAACCCTCAGCACCACATAAAAATAAAATAAAGGTAATGTGTCCACCTACAACTTAAAAAAAAATTTAAAATGTGCCAGGTGAGATGGCACATGCCTGTAATCCCAGCGGCTTGGGAGTTTGAGACAGGAGGATCAGGAGTTCAAAGCCAGCCTCAGCAACAGCAAGTTGCTAAGCAATTCAGTGAGACCCTGTCTCTAAATAAAATGCAAAATAGGGCTGGGGGTGTGGCTCAGTGGTTAAGTGCACCTGAGTTCAATCCCTGGTACCCCGCCCCCTGCCCCGCCCCCCAAATTTAAAAATGTTGCTGGGAGCAGTGGCGTATGCCTGTAATCCCAGTGGCTTGAGAGTCTGAGACAGGAGGATTGTGAGTTCAAGGCCAACCTCAGCAACTTAGTGAGGCCCTGAGCAACCCAATGAGGCCCTGTCTCTAAATAAAATACAAAAAATGGGCTGGGGATGTGGTTCAGTGGTTAAGTGACCCTGGGTTCAATCCACTGTACCTAAATAAATAAACAAATAAGAAGAAATGTTGTGCTTCAGAGGGCACCACAAAGAAGAGACAACCCACAAAATAAGAGAAAATATTTGTAAATCATATATCTGACAAGAGACTTATATCTAGAAAAGATTATTTAGGACTCAACTTAAAAAGACAAATTACCCAAATAGCAAATGGATGAAGGCTGTGCAGTCATCTCTAAAGAAGATACACAAATGGCTATGAGCACAGGAAAAGGTGCACAATATCTTAGTCCCTAGGAAAATGCAAATTGGCCATAAGATAACATCTCCCCCCCTGGGGTGTCTATTAGGTGACAGACACAATGGCAACTGTTGCTGAGGATGTGATCCAGTTGGAACCCCCATACACTGAGGAGGGAACACAAACTGATGTGACTACTCTGGGAAACAATTTGACAGTTCCTAAAAGAGATAAACATAGAATCACTCTGTAACCCAGCACAGAATCACTCTATGACCCAGCAATCCTATTCCTAGGTGTACCCAAGAAAACTGAAATCCTATTTCCACAAAAGAACCCATAGCAAGATGATTCGTAAGAGCTAAAAAGTGGAAACAACCCAAGTGTCTATCAGCTGATAAGTCAATAAACAAAATATCATATGGTTATATAATGGAATATTATTGTGCCATAAAAAAAGAGAGTGAAGTACGGACACATGGACAATATTGGTGCCCCTTGAAAATATGTTCAATGACCAAAGTCAGACAGTAAAGGCTACCTAATGAAATTTTGTACAATTTTATTATATGAAATGCCCAGAATAATCAGATCTATTTCGATAGAACATAAATTGGTGGTTGCTAGGGGGGGTCCTGTGGATATGAATGGAGATGACCACTAATAGGTATGGAGTTCTCTTTTAGGCTAATGGAGATAATTGCACAACTTGGTGACAATACTAAAAATTATTGAATTGTGGACTTAAGTGTGTGGGGGGGACAAAATGGCTTGACTGCCAAGCCCTTTTCTCCTCTGTCCCTGGCAGTTTGGGGCTCACCACCCCTAAGACCCCAGGGAGCTGCAGTGGTTTCCCCAGGCTGCCCTCTGGCTGGGCGTCTGAGTTGGTTCAGAGCAGGCTGGCCCTCTGAGATGACCAGCACCTGTACCATTCAGGAAACCCAGGGTTCTCTAGCTAGGTGCCCGGGGCCTCTGTTAAACACACCTTGACCCCACACACGAGCCTGACGACTCTGACCCTGAACATGCCCGTTCAGATGGATCTAATACCTCGAAAGACAGCCGAGAAAGGCCAGGGGTCACTGTGACSCAGATGGCGTGACTTACGGAAAATGAGAGGGGGATGGGTGGGTGTCAGTGGATAGAGCAACAGTTTTAACTTGTTGGGTCTGAGTGGAGGGTCACAGGTGTCCACTGGACTATTTTTTTCACTTTTCTGAAAGCCTAAAAATTTTTGAAGTAAAAAGTTGGGGGGAAATTTTAAACCCCAAATTAAAAAATGAATGAAAGTTTTGGAAAAAGGCCAATCTTGATAAACTGATGAGTTGTACAAATTCAGACACATCTCTCAACTGTATCTTTATGTTGTAGAGAGAGTCGTAATTATATCTGAGCGCTATTTGTCATTCTTCGTTACTCTGTAGGTAAAACACCTGGAATGATCCCTGGCAAATAAGTAGTTGCTCAATAAAAGGCACGACTTGAGAAATGAGCTGGGAGGACAAAACTCGATCAGAAGAGTTATAAATGTGCGTCTCCCATCTGCAAGGGCTGACGACGTTTCTCTCCTTTTTACAGCTTTTCCCGGGTGCTGCAGGAAACAGTGAGAGCACTAGCCCCCCAGAGTGACGTGGCGTTCATGCTGTCAGAAGACGGCAGTGGAAAGGGAGCAGCTCTCATCACTGCGGTGGCCAAGAGGACACAGCAGTCACAGAAGGAGAACTAGGAGTCCCCAAGGTCGGGCCTGACACACCTYGGATACTCACCAGCCCTTCCTCTGGCAGATGAGTGGGTCAGGGACCAGAAGGCCACCTCCCGACGGACTTCACCTTCTTGGTGGCTGAAAGAGGACCCAGGTTCTCGGGTACTCTTAGCATCTTGTTACTGGTTTTGCAGTGGCATTATATGACATCTCCATTCGGTATATGTTAGGGCCAACAAGAGCCCAAATTGTGAAATCGAAGTCTCTGGCCTGAGAGATCCGCTTTCTGTGGCTTTGGGTCCGGTGGCTGCTGGGCTTGGGAACACAGTCAGTCTGCCCCCATGGCCCGAGTGACTGAGTTGCTCCCCGAGATGCTCCAGGAGTACCCTGGGTCGTCCACTTGTGGAGGAACAATTCAGAGGATGAGAGACTCATGCACTAAACCAGGGGATTATAATCTAACTTGTGCTCAGCTCATCACGTTGACTTCAAATGTGAGGCAAGAACAAAGACTTTGGAGTGTTCAGCCCGAGAGGCAGAGGGGCTGGTTGGCCAGTGCCCCACGGGAGTCATTCTGTGCTTGCAGGAAGCTGTACAAGCACCCTGTGGGATCTTGTTCCTCAGTGTGTGTCGCGGCATGTGCTTGAGGCRTCTTTTTCGTGGTTGCGTTGCTGCGTGGATGGCTTTTCAAGGTCTGCTAGTAGATGAAATCCAGCCACTGAATAAAAAAATATTTGGTTTCCCAAGAAACTTGGCATGAGGTGTGGATCTTTGCTCTGGGAGGCTCCCTTGTATCTCCTTGTCCTGTTGGAAGGATAAGGAAGCCGTAGAGTCAGGAGGCGCTGAGGATCTCTTTAGTCCAAACTTCATGCCAGCTGGAGGAAATGTTTGGAMCGACTGATACAATCCCCTTAGCAGAATAGGCAACCTTCACTTTTGAACTGGAGTTGACTGGGGTCCTCTTTCAACCTCCATGGTTACATTCCCCTCCCTGAACTGGCCCCTCCCCACCCCCCATTTATCTCCATTCTGTTCTCCAGAACTGGCCTATCCTTGACTCTTTCTCCAGTGGACATCCCATTTCTCTCTCTCTCTCTTTCATTCTTCCCTCCTACTCTTTCTCTGAACTGTCTGTGACTTTCTTGTTACCTAGTTACATCCTTATCTGGCCTAGCAGATAATAATATCTTTTTCTTGAGCTGGGATTGTGGCTCAGTGGTAGAATGCGGCACTGGGTTCGATCCTCAGCACCACATAAAAATAAATACCATAAAAGTGTTGTGTCCACCTATAACAAAAAAATTTAATAATAATAATATCGTTTTCTCCCCCGCCCCTTGGAACTGGGGATTGAATCCAGAGGTGCTCTACAACTGAGCTCTATCTCCAGCCCTTTTATTTTCATTTTGAGACAGGGTCTCATTAAGTTGCTGGGTCTGGCCTCAAACCTGCAATCCTCCTGCCTTAGCCTCCCAAGTTGCTGGGATTACAGGTGTGTGCCATCAGGGTCAGATTATTATAATGTCTTTCTCAGACATTTTTTTTCATCAATTTATTTTATTTTATTATTATTTTTTCTCAGACATTTTTTTAATTGCTCAAGTGTCCCTACTACTGAGTCATTCTTATTTATACTTACTGAAGAGAGGCATGAGGACAAACAAAAGTTTCTAGGAAATCTTCCTTGCAAAAATCGGAGGCCGTCATCCTAGGAAACAAAAAGGAGAAAAATAGTCTTGCAGATGGGCCAGGTTGATTTCAGTTTATGCACTAAATTACATGCTGACGTACTTACATAGTGCTTCAACTCCACAAAGAGTGGCGGTGTACCTCTGCATGAAGAGATGGTTCCCAGTGCCAAATGTCACCCACTGCTGAAGCAGGATGTTCAGACAGACAGAATGCAGGAGGCTGAATCCAAAACAGTGAGAGAGGCTGGGAACAGATGAGGGACCCTGAAGGATGATGTGTGGTGACTCTGCTGAGAGCAGGTCCTAGATTAACTAAAATTAACCTAAAAATTTTACTTTGGGGGGCAGGTATCAGGGACCGATCTCAGGAGCACTCAGCCACTGAGCCACATCCCCAGCCCTTTTAAAATTTTATTTAGAGACAGGGTCTCATTGAGTTGCTTAGCGCCTCACTTTTGCTGAGGCTGGCTTTGAACTTGCAATCCTCCTGCCTCAGCCTTTCGAGCTGCTGGGATGACAGGCTTGCGCCACTGCATTGGCTTTTTAAAAAATACTTTAAGGTTACACATCCCTGGA